TGACGACGTACTCGAGGGCAGAAAGGCGGACGGAGGAGATTGTTTAAAATATTCGAAATGTTCTTGACAAGAGCGAGTGCACTTCTTTTGCCTCGTTTTAACCGGTACAAATTAGAATTTGGATTTTATCAGATCACGCCTCTTGTCACAACAATTGATGAATAATTATAGATAACATTTTATTTTAAATTCCTTTGAAAAATTGTTTATAAAAGAAAGCCTTTCTGAGGAACTCAGAAAAATCTCAAACAAGAACATGTCTCTTTATGATAAATTGCTTAGAAATATTACAATTTAACGTACACATTTTATAAATATAGGTGCTTCACTGCACAAGCATGAACAAGTCGAGTTATTAATCGAATGTTATCAATCACGGTAGTTTCTGTTAAAAAAAGACAACATGGTATCCGTTCAACTATCTCTTTCTCTCTGATCGCTGGAGAAGATACAGCAGAGCTTATTTTAGTATGGATATAGTTCAATACTGTCATTAAATGACTCATTGTTGCGACTCATGCAGCGTTTCATAGAAAAAGAAACATATTCTCATTTTGTTAAGGCAATTAACAAATCTACGAGATGTAGTATTTTTATACTATAATTTTTATACCATAATTATCATAATTCGATATGTATCGAGATACACTTACTTTATATTTGTGAATAATCGTAGATTCGTTACCTTATAGTAAAAAAATTCTGACTCACCAACTCGATGCGCAACGGGCGGAGTTATTCGGCCACGTAGCTACGGTGATCCTGTAACATACAAACATAAGATTCAAATTAAAGAATCGTTCAAAATAATCAGCATTTTAAAAAGATAATTGTTACGTGCCTCTAATTTGTCTTTTAATGAGATATTTAGCAACACAATTATCTATTTACTCAAAAAGATCTTTATAAGAATAAAATTTTGGATAATTTCTCTTTCTCTAATTACTTCTAATTTATCGTAATAAAACAATTTGAATAAATAAAAAAGAATAATTAATTCTATGCAGATATACGAGATGATACTCACCCCAAGGTTGCTCCGCCGGTGCCCGATGTCTCTCTCGGACCTCCTCCTCTCAGGATGTCAGGTCTCTGGGTCTCTCCTCCTCCTCCTCCTCCTCCTCTCACCGCACAGGACACTCGCGAGAAACACTCGCGGATAATAAACTATACAATCGCACGCGGACTAATTATTATTAAAAGTCTTTCGCGCGATACTGTAAGGGCACTCCCGTTTAAAAAGCCCACGAGGAGAATATTCCGTCAAGTGTATCGCAATATTCTTCGAATGGACTTTAAAAAAGTTCTCTAGTCCGATTACATGAACGGCACTCCCGAAACAAACGCGACGAACCGGCTGCGGTTCGTTTGTTCAGTTAAATCGGCGGACGAGGGTACGGTAGCTTCCCCGTCTTTGGATTTTTATTCAAGCAGAACGAGAGTTTTGCTTGGGTATAACATCCTCGGGGTACTGGGCCTTCCCACCTCGCCAAGGTCGTACCCATGGGAAGGAAGTATTTTACTGTAATGTAAAAGCAGGTAATATAAAATTAAGTTGTTGATATATATATATATATGGATAGATACGAAGAATTAGAATAAAATTGAGACATATATATTGATAATTGTCTATTTTCATTAAATGAGTTAATAAAAAAAAAAGTTAATAAAACAACTAAAATAAC